AGAACCCTGTCTAAAATAATTGGTACCAGGAATGGTTCTAGAGAAATAAAATCATAAATCCAGGCTTCTTAAATTGGTTCTCCAGCTTGATTAGCCTTAACAGCACTGATAATGCTACTTCTACACCTAAAGGCATGGATAAGTCTGCCACTCTTACTAATCCATGATGTGAAGTAGCAACGCTAATATCTACAGTATCACCACCGATAGGTGAAATGCTGGTTAAAGGAGAGGCTCTGAGTGATCGTATGTTTGATATTTTCCAGCAGTTTTGTCAGGATGACAAGTATAGGGAGGTTGGTTGGCTGGTCCGTCTTACAATGGACAGTGTGATTAAGGAGGGGGATGGTCTCAGAACCTCAGAAGTGCACCTCAAGTGCCAAATAATGGACTTAAAAGCTTCCACCTGTGGCAGCTACAAAGGAGCGCCTTCTCTCTAGTAATAAAGCTGACATTGCTGAGGACCAGGTCCAGAGTCTCAACACGCAAGTGGCTGAATTACAACGGCAGCTGAATTACAGATCTAGAGCAGTGCCTGATACTAAAGTGAGGGCATTGATGGGGAAAAGTTGGGACCCTGAAACATGGGACGGGAACATATGGGCTGATAATCCAGAAGAGGAGGATATTGAACCCCTAGAAATTATTGAGCCACCCCTGGGGATGTGGGAGTAAACCATGGAGGGAGGGCAAGAGTACGTCAGTAGAATTAGCAACGAGAACGGCGAGACCCTGTCTCGTGTCCTTTGGGGGTGTTATCAAGAGGAACCAGTCCAAGAAGACCATCTTGGTTAGTAGAGTGTGGCAGAAATGACAGCCCATAAAGGGCTGGATGGTGGACCTTTGGGTTGAAAGGAATGAGGCAATAGGACCTGCCTCCCAATCAGGAGTCAGATGCTGGTTGCCTGCAGCTGGATTGCCTATGAAAGGACACCCGGGGCGGGCTCTCTGCATTGATACCACAAGCCTTCCAGCAGCCTCAGCAGCACCCGACACCCCCAAGGCTTTTACCTCCACTTGGGTGTCCCAGTCCAGAGAGCTGTTGATCACAACCCCTGGGAGATCGGGCCAGACCTGTAAGGAGAAACAGGAAAGGGCAGTGCTCACGCTCAGAGCATGGGGTGATGTCTATGCGAGGACAGCGGCTATCAATTACCAAGTATTTCCCAAGAAACTCTAAACCCCAGAGATCACCCTGTGGGTGAACCCCAGTGCTACCACACTGGGGCAGTGGGTGCCCATGAGTCGTACCTTTCCCCAGACAATGTTGCCACCGTTGGGTTCCTTGATGAACACGTTCTCTGCCACGCCCCTTGTGAACGCAAGGTAGTCTTGGGTCTCGTTGCCAGAAATGGCTGGGTCCTGAGATGAGCCAGAGGTCAGGTGAGGAAACCCTGAGCAGTGTGAGGTCCCAGACACCAGGCCTCCAGAGAGAGGGCCCCAGCTCCCAGCTGCACGGCGGGATGTTGGCAGGTGCCGAGCGACGCATTTGTCTCATTCAACCACTGCCTCCCCACTTGCACCAGGACAAAGCCAATGAGGAAGCTGTCTCCTCAAACGGACATCACACACACGAGGAGGGCTGACCAGGAGGAGATGACCCACCCGTCCCTTCACGGGGACCCACACACTTGCAGAGGGCTCACCAGAATAAGGATGACCCGCATCCCCGCCTGCTTCATGCGTGTGATCAGAGCAGGAAAGCCAGCAAACTTGGGGCTGAGGGTGAAGTCCAGCTGGCGCTCCATGTAGTCGATGTCGGAGTACTGCACATCCTGGGAGAACACAGGGCGCGGGTGGGGGGCTGCGGTCCCAGGAGCCATGGCTCCCTGCAGCAGCAACCCACCGCCACCTGAGGAGAATCCCACACGGTTGCCTCTTAACTCCTGAAAGTCCCCGCTCTGTCATTTGTTAGCTCTCAGGTCCCGGGAATTCGCCTCCCTTGGGAACTTGTGGTTGTAAAATAGTAAAAACTAGATCAGCAGAAAGCAGGAAGGAGATGAGCCAGTCACGATGCAGGTTAGCACCGATGAAACATACAACTTTCCTCTAGTTCTTGAATGCTTCCTCCCCCACCGCCCCCCACCCCACTCTCATGATCCCAATTCTACCTTACAAATCCAGCTAGACCAGGATGTACACTGGTACAGAATAGAGCTGGATACACAGGAAATCCAGGACAGATAAACCCCTCAAGACCAATAATGAGAGTAGCGAAACCAGGAGGGGAAGGGGAAGGTTGGGGGAGAAAGGGGGAACCGATCACAATGATCTACATATAACCCCCTCCCAGGGAGAAGCACAACAGAAAAGTGAGTGAAGGGAGCTATCAGACAGTGTAAGACATGAACAAATAATAGTTATTTATAAATTATCAAGGGTTCATGAAGGAGGGAAGGTGGGGAAAAATGAGAAGCTGATACTAAGGGCTCAAGTAGAAAGAAAATGTTTGAGAATGATGATGGCAACAAATGTACAAATGTGCTTGACACATGGATGGATGGTTGGAATGTGATGAGTTTTACAAGCCCCCAATAAAATGATGTTTTTAAAAAGAAAGAAAGCAGGGAGGGATGAGAATGTCCCCTTGGTAGGGGTGTTGTGAGGAGAAATTGAAGTGCTTGGTGAACACAGGTTTTTGAATGTACGGACATAGGCTGTAGGCTGTTACCCTTCCCCCTCCCTCCCCAGAGGTTGGTCTTGGCCCCCAGTGGCACACGATCGGAGAGAGTGTTGTGTCAACCACCTGGGACGAAGACAACCAGGGCAGTGGAACCGTGAACACTTGACCGGCGGCAGAAACGCGTAGGTTTTTTAGGAAATCCAGTGTTGACTGGTGTCAGACACCACCCCCTCGCCACCTGTGAGTGAGCTCGGACCCTGAGCTCCCTCGTGAGTCAGAGGAGAAGGGGGCTCCATGGCCGGACAGCCTGGACTGTGACCTTTCAGAAACAGATCGTCACTCTCTTCCACTGGGTTGGTTCAAACCAACAACCTTTTGGTTAGTGAAAAAAAGAGAAAACAGACTCGCTGCCATTAACTTGATTCCAACTCATGGCGACCCTGTAAGACGGGGAAGACCTGCCCTGCAGATTCCAAGACCTAACTCTGTGCAGGAGTTGAAAACCTCATCCTTCTCCCACACGACAGCTGGCAGTTTCGAACTACAGACCTTGCGGTGATCGGTCCAACGTGTAATCCACGACACCACGCTTAACTGTGGGCATGAGACTCTGCAGGTGCAACCCGCCATCCATCTCAGTGTTGATGCACAATAGGAAAGTCAATGGAGTGAACTTGAATACGAGCCTGGCTTGTGGGATCAGTGTCCCGCTCTTGGGAGCCCCCTTGTTCTCCAAGGAAGAGAGGGGCTGCTTCTGGGTGTTTCCCTTTGGAAGCCAGTCCCACGATGGCTGCAGAGATAGTGGTGAGCTGGGTTGAGAAGTGTTCATGTTTGGTTTAGGTTGACACTTAGGTTGGTGTGACTACATGTGATTGTTTTTTAATTAAACAAAAAGTACTCGTTGGGGGCTCGTTGTTCCTCGTAGACGGAGCATGTGTCTGATTGCTGTGACGTCACGTAAGAGAAAGAGAAGGAGAGAGAAAGAAGGGAACTGGCAGCAAGAGCCCCGGAGAGATGGAGGTCATACTACTCCTCCTCCAGGAAATCCCGGTGACTCGGGGCTCCTCTCCCTATCCACTGGGGGCACAACGACCCCACGGTGTCACAGGGCTCCATGGGATTTCACATGAGAAAACACTTGGTAGCTTTATGCCCAAACAGGTGGCCATGGTGTTGATGTTGACCCCAGTGACGCCGTGGGACAGAGTAGAACCGCCCCCAAGGGCTTCCTAGGCTGTGATCCTGATGAGCACACATGACCACGTCTTCCCCCCACTGAGCGGCCAGTGGGTTCCCACCTGCAACCTTTTGGGTTAGGCACTGAGTACTTAACCACTGCGCCACCAGGATCCTTTGTAACTGCGTAGAACTCCACCAACCCAAACCCGAGAGATGCACACACCCAGCCAAATGAATGAAGCCAGACACAGGGATGATTAGTCACGAGATGACAGCTCAGGCAGGCAGCCCACGGACGGGAACTTACGTAGGGGATCTGGGCGGCCACCATTGCGTCGTAGAGGCTGGCAATCTCTGAGTCATTCGCGTATCCATAGCGGCAGAGCTGAAATCCCAAGGACCAGTAAGGCACCATCACAGGCCGGCCGATCAGCTAGAGAGCAGACAGAAAGGTCAGTACTCAAGAAAGACCGAAGATGTCCATGAGGTATGCAGAAGGGGTCCCAGTGCCCTGAGCAAGGCAACCACAAATTCAAGGTGAAAGAGAAACCCAGGGGGTGCCCAGCCACTGGGAAGCCCCAGAAACACTCTCTCTCAGTCTCCCTCTCAAAATCCTGGACCCTACTCCCGTCTCAATGACAGCCGAGCTTCCTGATCGACAGCAGAGGCACTGGGGGCAAAAAGCCTGGTTAGTGAACATACAGTCTCCTATCCGAGCTGTCTGTGTGGCTGTGAACAAAACATAAACAAGTTCTTTGTGCCTCAGTTTCTTTAGCTGTAAATTGGGGCAATTAATTGTGACCTTCCTCATAGCTTTTTGTGAGGGCTGAATGAGTCAAAGGGTGTACAGTACCTGGCATGCAGTAGGTATTGTATAAGAGCCTGGTGCTCCCATGACAGTCACCACCTCCCCTTTCTCACCTCGTGGGGATTCACACCATCACCATCATCTTCAGCAGCAGCACTCCACTGCCACCCATATCACTAGCATCATCTTCATCTCCATCTCCGCCACAGTCTTCCCCGTGAACATGTTCACCACCATCACAACCATCTTCACCACCACCACCATCACTACTATTCCCACCACCGTCTCCACCACCAACTCTACCACAACTACCACCACCATACTTATTACCACCCACCACCACCATTATTACCACCACCATCACCACTACCACCACCGGCACCACCACCACCATCACCACCACCACCATCACCATACCACCACCACCATTATTACCACCACCATCACCACTACCACCACCGGCACCACCACCACCATCACCACCACCACCATCACCATACCACCACCACCACCATTATTACCACTACCATCGCCACTACCACCATTACTAAAACCACTACCACTTCCTCCACCACCTCCACTCCAATTGCTACCACTTGCACCTCCACCTCCATGACCACTAACATTATCACTACTACTAACACCATTACCAACACCATCATTACAGCACCATTATTAACACCACCATCATGACCACTACTTCACTACCACCACAATTACCATCACGCCTACTGCTTCTACCTCCACTTCCACCACCACTAACACTACCACCACGACTACCACCAACCCAACACCATTGTTATCATAATCGCCACTACCACCATCATCAACGCCATCACCACCACTACGTCAATTATTCTGCAATGTTTAGAGAGGCTACAAACCTAATGGTGTTCGAATGTATTCATTGCCCATTATTCTATCGTCTATCTGATAGAATAGCCAGAAAAGTCAACACGCTTAGTTACCGTGTAAGAGCTATAAAATAAACGTGCCTAAGATGTGCTGGATAAATACTTGGTGCCAATCATGTCCTCACCCACCTCTGTGTACTGCTGAGTGACAAGTTCTGGAGTGGGTCCCAGGACCACATAGAAGTCCAGAATTCCTCCTATGGTACGGTATGTCAAGGCAGGCAAGGGCTGGAACGTCACATCTGCAAACAGAGGAGAACACCCACCACGCTGGAGGCCTCCAAGATGGGGTACTGCCCCTGGACTTTGCACCTTCTCGCTCTTGTCTCCCTGGGCCCTCCACAGTAGAGAACTGAGAGGGGGCAGTGTGCATCGCCCCTGACAGAGTTGCTGGCGGTAAGTGAAACTCTACAGGGGCTCCCACTCTGCCTTTCTTTCTTCCTCCTTCCGGGCGCTGTATCACCTCATTGCAGGGCTGATTGCTCCACTCTACTCTTAGGTCTTATTGTAACGTTTCATTTAAGACTCACAAGAAGATACACCCTAAGTCCTGAGAGCTCCCAGGCACACTTTTTAACTAACTCAACCCCCAATGACATGAATACAATTCTCAAAACTCAGGTGTAGACCTCCTTTGATGTCACCCGCTGTTCCAGGCACCGTTTCTCACACTCCTGGATTTAAGGCTTTTCTGTATTCCAGACACCTTTTCCCCACACTCCACCCCACGGCGAGTGCGCAGGGCTATTGCTGCACTACTGCAGACGATGCAGACAGCTCCCGTGGGCTGACCTCCAGGGAGAATGCGTGAGCCTTGCTGGGCAGCATTATTCCTCCGTAACTGATGTTTGTCAAACGAGAATGGGGTTCATTCATTTTACGACCTATGGCAGAACTCAACTAACCAGAAAGGACAGAGAAAATAAAAACAAAACAAACAGCAGTACACGCACACACAAAACAACCTCACTATCCATCTGATAATAACTTTAAATTTACTTGACTGGCTAGACAACTCGGCCACCACGTCCAACATTACCCACGGACAGAAGAGCCAGGCAGGCGCCCAATCTCACCCATGGCATTGCTGTTGAGCAGGAGCACCCCGTGGGCACTGTCGTCCGCCTCCAGCGCCATGTAGTAGGGGTGCACACTGTAGGAGTTCATCTTGTACTAGAGGAGCCACAGGAGGAGAAGGGGTGGGAGGTCAGTAGACTAACTCAACAGAAAGCCACCGCTAAGATAAGCCCCGCCCTCTCCGGGCCACCCATGAAATCCAGGAGAAACAATGGAGCGTGGGAACCGGGCCGCCTTTCTAAAGGCAGACTGTGGCCACTCACAGTGAGCCGAGCAGGGAGTCCTTACCCCCGGAGGCTGGTCCCGGGAGAACATGCCCCACGTGTGCCAGTTGAGCTCTCTCAAAAAGAACCGGTGCTCATTCTCCCCAAAGCCATACAGGTATGGGGAGGGCAGGCGGGTGGAGATGCGGATGAACATGTCGTTGAAGGTGAAGCCGAGGAGCTGAGAGTCCCAACTGCAACACAAGGGGTAGATTGGAGGAAGACATCAGTCAGAGAGCTCCCTGTCAAGGATGGCAACGCTCTTGATTCACCCTCGCCAGAACCTGCTCCCTCTGATGAAAACCGCATCAATGCCCCTTGCTAAGGATGCCAGGCCAGCTCTCCTTTGACTCTCTGTTCCTATCACCACGTCCTTCCAGTTTTCTCCTCCACAGAAACCCTCCGTGCCAGCCCTCACCTCCTCTCTCCGTCCCCACAGCATCCAGGGTCAGCACTATGTGGACACCTAGCCAACAGGCTAAGAGTTCATACCCATGCAGAGAGGTCTCGGCAGTAACAGCTAGGGAGCCGCCCCTGGGCGCTCACAGCTATGAGGATGCTATGGAGCGCGGTCGACGCTGCAGAAAGGGCTCAACGGCAAGGACACGACATCCTCTCCTTCCTCTGTTTGCAGTCCTCCAGGAGTTTCGCCATCCCACGTCCCATGGAGCCTTCGAGGCCACCTCTGGCCTGGAACCGGCCTAACACCCAGCTTCATCCCCCAACACCACCCCATCACTGGCGGTCCAGCTCCACCCACCTCCAGTTCCCCAGTGCCGTGGACTCTCACCTGCTCCACCATCTGAGTATTCTTCTCCCCCCCCCCACCGTCCCATCCCCCCATTTCCACATGGGGAGCTCCTTCCATCACCCAGGTCCTATTTCCAAAGTCCCCTCCTTGGAGTGAACATCACTGGCCACAGCATCGGAAGTCGTCCCCAAGCCACTGCCCGGCAGTCAATCTGACTTAGGGTCATCCTGCGGGAGTCGCACTGCCCCACAGGGCTTCCAGGACTGAACCTCTGTATGGACGAAGAGGCACATCCTCTTTCTCTCCCAGACTGGCTGGTGCATTCGAACTGCTGACCTTTCTGTTTGCAGCCCACTGCTTAACCCACTGCATCCTGGGGCTCCGTGTCATACGCCGTCGCCTCCCTCCAAAGCCCCCAGTGCCCTGCTCTTTGTCCTACTTGGCGGCCATCACTTTCAACACTTCCTGGCTTGTGTTATTTATTGTCATCTCTCGTCAGGAGAAGAGAGGCTTCATCCTCTTCTGTCTGCAACTGCGGTGCCTGGAGAATGTGGCCGATGAAGGGGAGGCCCATGCACAGGCCTCCGCCACGGTTCCCAGGGTGCTCAGGGGTCCCCACAAGAACAGCCCCGAAGAAAGCAGAGGCAGAGTGGATGTGTGTGGAAACAGGTAGGGGCCTGGCTCGAGCCGGGGCACCTCCGGGGAAGCATCTATTCCCAAAAGGACAGGAGCCACTCACATGATGTTGCCGGTACTCTTCCGGGTGATTTCGATCCCAAAGGGGTTCTCCTTAATGCGGACGTCATACAGCCGGTCGCTAGGGGTGCTGGACGGCGCGGCAGGTATGTTGAGAGGCACTGGGACTTCATAACGTCTGTTGTTGGGATCATAAATCTAGGACCGGGGAAAGGAGAGGTTAGAACCAGCCTTTTGCATCCCACACCCTGAGCAGAATGTGGTGGCTTTGAGGTCATCAGAGGTAAGCACACTGGACGCCCATTGGCATTCAGCACCCACGGGCTTAATTGTGTCCACGTGTTGGTCTGCAAAGGGCCAAGTCAGATGAGTCTCATCAGAGTTTGCTAGTGGACAGAGCCCTGTTGCCATGGTGGGCTTCACGTTGGGATGCTAACTGCAAGGTTGGCAGTTCAAAACCACCAGTCACTCCTCTGGAGAAAAATACCACCTGCTCCTCCTGTAATGATTTACAATCTTGGAAACCCACACAGGTAGCTCTACGGGGTTGCCTAGCCCATGATGGGTGCTGACACAGAGCACATGGAAGGCAGGCAGTGAGCTGGGGGCCTGGGCACTGTCCTGGAGAAGAGGCCGGATGAACCTTTAATGTGCAAAGTAAGGGGGTGGACTCATGCCAGGTGGAGAAAGCACGAACACCAGAGGCAGATACTGTGGAAGAGGTATGGAACCATCGGCAGAGGGACACAGGTGTGTCCCGGAGGGCGAAGACTGGACACCCAAACAGGTTGGCTCGCTTCAAGCCCAGGAATACACCAGGTGCCTGCTCTGTTGAGCACAGATAGCAAAAGCACCAGGCCTACACCAGACAAGGTCGAAGAGCGCTCAGCCCCCGTGGGTGACAGCAGCCTGGGACGAGCTTCCCTTACATAACTGCCATGCTCCTCTGGCCTGAGCCCTCCTGGGGGAAGTGATGATGCAGTCAGCTGCAAACCCAGAGTTGGGTCCTCCAAATCTATCAGGTGCTTGAGGGGAGAGACCTGCCACTGCTTCTGTAAAGCTTGGGGGGCTCCAGAGGGCCCCTAGGTTAGAGTCCACTCTGCAACCCACAGAACAGCAGCAAGCTTGGCTCCCAACAAAGTGCAAATGGAGTTGCAAGTGGCCTGGTCAGTACTTGGTGGACCCACTGCCACTATTTGTTACCCCTCCATGGGCACTTAGTACATCTATGGCTGGTACTTGGTGGACCCACTATTAGTGCTTGGTGGACCCTTGTTGTGGTTTGCTATACACACTACAACAGTGGCTCTCAACCTGTGGGTCATGATCCCTTTGGGGGTTGAATGACCTTTCACAGGGGTCGCCTAAGACCATTGGAAAACACATAAATATTTCACAATATATAATTACCTATTGTTTTGTGATTAATCCTGTGCTTCAATTATGTTTCATTATGTTCAATTTGTAACAATGAAAATACATCCTACATATCAAATATTTACATGACCATTCATAACAGTAGCAAACTTACAGTGATGAAGTAGCAACAAAAGTAATTTGATGGTTGGGGGTCACCACCACATGAGGAACTGTATGATAGACTCGTGGCATTGGGAAGGTTGAGAACCGCTGCACTAAGGTATAACTGAGCCCAACCATGGCATTTTCAATGGCGTCATACATGCGTGAAAGTTGAACACTGAATATGAAAGACCAAGGATGAGGTGGTGCAGTTGAATGATGGTGCTGCTGGAAAAATATTGAACGTGCCATGAGCCGCCCAAAGAACAGACGGGTCTGTCTTGGAAGAAGGACAGTCCGAGCGCCCTTTAGAAGCAAGGATAAAAATAAATAAATAAATAAAATAAAATAAAATAAAAATTAAAAAAAGAAGAAGCAAGGATAACTTTGTCGCATGTACTGTGGACGTGTTGTCTGTAGAGATCAGTCCCTGGAAAAGGACACCTCGCTTGGGAAAGGGGAGGAGCTGCAGAAACAGAAGACCCCTGATGAGATGGATAGACGCAGTGTCAGCAACAGAGGGCACGAAGACAGGAAAGCCGTGAGGGCGGGGCAGGACCAGGTGCCGAGCACGGGGTGGCTAGGGGTCAGAACCAAGTTGGCAGTAGCTAACAATGACAGCAACCACACCTACTGAGCTGACCTTAAACTGCAGCATGTCATTCTTGTGGTAGGTGACAGCCAGGCGGAGGGAGGCCACGGGGGTGGAAGGGAAGGCGTTGGCATGGTGAGCATCCTTCAAGGAGATGTCGGCGGTGACCCCGAGAGCACTGTACTGAATGTTACCAACAGAGTACAGCTCGTTGACAAAATAGCAGAAGGGGACTCCGGTCGTGGTAGACTCCTAGGTCAGAAGGCCAAGTCACAGCTGAGTGTGGTGCAAAAGGATCACCAGGAGGGAGGCAATTCAATGGGAAGCAGAGGATGTCAACCCACCTACCCACCCTCACTGGCTTATAGACCAACTAGTCATGGCCTAACTAAAGGCAAGCCCAAACCCAGGGCCTTCCCCAGGCCATGGAGTGAATTCCAACTCATAGTGACCCTGGAGGACAGAGTAGGACTGTCCCCTAGGGTTTCCAGGCTACAAATCTTTAAGGAAACAGATGGTCTCTTCTGTCTCTGGCAGGATGATGACATAAACCCCAACCAAACCCATGTCGGACCTGAGATAGGGCCGTGGGGTCTGCACATCTTTATGGGACCAGGAAGCCGCGTCCTGCTCTCAACATAAGACACTGGCATTCCTGGTTTCCTTGGACAACTCTTGGCAAAACCACCCCACTCCTGTTCCCCCACCCATTCTTCATGTCCAGCTAAAGCTCAGGGTCCCTGGAGGGTCCTTGCCTGCTAGAGGTCTATAGCAGTTGAGGTCCAAGGCTGCCTGTGTGAGGCTCATGAACACCACAGATGAACTTGATGTCCAAGAGGGTCACCTGAGGAGCTCCATGCCCCCCTCCACATTCTATTTCTAAGGTGGCCTCCTTGGAGCGACCTTTTCGGGCTTACCTCCCAGACGCAGCCACGCGCCACACAGTTCTCTGCAGAAACACCGTGCTCATCCGGGTAGCAGTTGATTTTCTCTGAGTCATTTATACGATCCACATTCCACTCCACGGTGTATGCTTCCCCCAGAACAAGGGAAAGCTCCGTGATGGTGGCGACCTGTCAGGATGGGGAGGGACAAGGACATTGATCCTCCAGCCAAGGTCTGACAAGAGCTGTCGATTTTTGTAACACCGGAACTAGATACCAGCCTGACTCTCAACAATCCAAGTGCCAAAGAAGAAGTCCACAAAGGCAAAGCAATCATTCGGGTGGAAAGTATCATTACAACAACTTCATAGAGGCCTTTCTTGGACAAAAAATGTCCAGACGTGAGGCTGTTACTCCCTGATAGACCCCCTCATCTTGGTGTGTCCATCTCTCTAACGCTTCCCCAACGGATCCTGTGCTCTTTAACTTGCAGGACATCAGCGTGGCATTTTTGACAACCTCGGGGGACTCAAAAACCATGTTCCTTTTCAGTATTCTTTGAGTTGGGGGTGGTGGTAAAGAGTTTAAAGTGAGGCATTAGTCTTTCATGATTCCCCAAGAAAATTCTCACCGAACCCTTTGAGAACTCACTCCAGTGTGGCTGTCTCCTTCAGGCACTACCGGTAAGATCTAGTTGCTGCCCACTTGATTCCCAAGGGTCCTCAATGACTGATCTTTGGGAAAGTAGAAAACCAGGCTTTTCTCCTTGATGGACCAGAACGTCCACCCTTTCAGTGACCCTGGCTTCACCCAAGGGCAGTCTTTGGTACCTGGGCTCCTCTAACCAACCGAAAGGTCAGCAGTTCGAACCCATCAGCTGCTCCGAGGGAGGACATGGTTGCCTGCTTCAGTAAATCTGACAGCCTAAGGGTCCCCAGGGGATGATCCACTCTGGCCTACAGGGTCTCCACAAGTCAGAATGGGCTCAAGGACACTGACTCAGTGAAAGCAGTAGCCATGAGCTATGGCGATAAACTTCTTTTGAAATATTTCTTTACAATGTACACATTGACTCAGAAGTCTATCTCATTGGAGTGAAATACCAACAACTTCACGTCAAACTCTCCATGTACTGAGCTTCCTTCCACCTCCCATTTTGAATTTTCTAGCACCAACCCGCAGCCTGGAGAAGCTCCTTGTCTACACTTCTGTTCCCTGCTTGGTAACTGCGCTCCCTTGTCTGCATCAAAGCGATTTCTTGTCAGGGAGAAAGGTCTGAGGGGCTGCGATGGAGGGAAAGGTGTAAGGGCTACTTGATCTTACTCTAGTCCTCTCACTCAAAACTCACTGCCATCGAGGCAATGCCGACTCATGGCGACCCTACAGGACCGGGTGGAACTAGAACTGCTCCTGGGGTTTCCCCAGCTGTCACCCTTCACCCTTCACTCACCCACTCACTCACTGACCGCCATCAAGTTGATGCCCACCCACAGTGACCCTAGAGAACAGGGTAGGACTGCTCATGTGGGCTTCCAAGGCTGTAACTCTTTACAGGAGCACAAAGCCTGTCTTTCTCACTCAAAGCAACTGGTGGTTTGAATGGGTGACCTTGTGGGTCTCACAGCCCAGCGTTAACCACTAAGCCATAGGGCTTCTTCCGCCCCTCCTCATTCATCCTAGCTGTGGTCCCTCCTCCAAGCTTCTTTCCCACCCCTCAGACTCCCCCCCACAGTGGGGTTCTGGTCCTTTCAGGGCCCGTGTACGTTGGGAGAAGGAACCCTTGGGGCTACCAAGAATTTCAGGCAGAAGAGCTCCCAAACCAGGATTTTACCTGGAGGACAGTGTCATAGGTGACTTTAGGAGAAGCCTGAGTTGGGATGTTGTTCTGTTTCACCACAATGTTGGTAGGTTCCTTGGTCCCAAGGATTTTAATCTCCTTAAATGCTAAATTATTGGGGTCTTTGTAGTTCGATTGCACAATCTTCACAGCCAACTGGTTCTGCAAGACAAATACGCAAAAGGGCTACATGTCAATTTCTCAAGTGGCCCAAGTACCTATCACAGTCCAGATACCCGGCTATGGATCTTCAGGTGGACAAAACACTTACCCTAGACCAAGCAATCAACCTCAGATCAAGTCTCCCCAATACCTACCACTGGCCAAATAATCAACTACAGATCATCAAGTCTCCCCAATACCTATATCAGACAAAATACCCACCTACATATTCTCAAGCTAGGTAGACTTGAGAATTATTCACCTAACTATGTACCCAAATGTCTCTTTCTTAACTATCTCTGCTAAAATATTCCTGTGCTCAAGGAATGCAAACATACTCACACTTTATAACCCCTACACAATAGATATATCTTACATCAGGACACATGCTTACACACGCGCTCTCAGAGAGAGACATGTTTATAAAGTGCACTTAGCAGCACTAACTTTGATTTATCCACACCATGCCCTCATTTTGCCAAGTAGGTGGTTCAATTATCGGGACTTAAATTGGTATGGGCCACCTGCATCTAAAAACTGCAGATGAAGCTGTTCTAACATCCATTGTGGTCAGGACTGTATAGTGCGTCTTGGTGAACTACTGAATGGTATGCTATTTGGGCTGGGTCCCAAGAGCATGTTTTCCATAAATAAACAGGCGAATGCGTAGGAAGCCACCCTCTAACTGGCCGGCCCACTTGAACAGCTAGTCAGATGAATGCCCACGCTGTAGAATCAGAGAATGCGGCTCCTCACCTGGGAAACGGAGAACTCACAGAAGAGGTACTTGCTACCAGTCACTGTATCTGAAAGCAAGAGGAAGACCAGTTAGATGCCCCTTGTGGGGGGTGGGGGGGATATTAGTTTTCCTTCCCCCTCCCAACGAGAGCCACATCTTGGGAATGAGGAGGTGACAGTCAGCGTGCCCAAGGTCAAGCCACTGCTTGTTCCTGCACTGTCTGCCATAGCCTTGGAAAGGGTCCCTTCCAAATGCTTCCTGGGAACATGCCTCAAGCAAAGCTACGCATTTCCAGAGAATGAGTCGCAGGATTTGCTAGTTTCATGGGGGGTGGGGCAGGGGTGGGGCGGTCAGGCAGTAGCAAGCATAGCTGGATGCATCCTTTCTGTTACAGGATTATGGTTGCTGCCAGGAGCCGTTGGGTCTTTCCGACTCGTGTTGACCCTAGGAATGACAGACTGAAACAACGGCTGATCCTGGTTGGCTGAAAGGGAGGACTGGGAGTGCTTGCTGGGGAAAATCCAGGATTGCAACCTGCAGACGGACAGGTTACAACTTGATGTACAGAGGACCAAACTCCGCCCCACTGGACGAATATGTCGGAGTGAGAAGCGGAGATGAGAGAAGACGGGTGCTAGCATGCTGGCAGCCACTCCCCATGCTCACGGAAACAGCCATCAGGAGAGCACACTGCAGCGCCTTGGGTCAATCTGCTGCACAAGACCACTTGCAAGTGCTGAAAAGCAGGGTATGCCTTTGAAGACTGAGACACGTGGACCCACACTGTGGGGCAGAGGATCTAGTCCAGGGGAGGGGCAGTGAAAGTGAATGGAGGAGCCTCCCCCCACGGTGGGTTGGCACCAGGACCTCCAGCACAGCAGTGAGGACGAAGGCAGTGGGGAAGGGGCCACGTCTCCTCCCGCGGTACATGAGGTCGGTGTGCATGAGCACGCCCTCAATCAGCAACAGCAGCGGCTAGCTCCCCACCACACTGCCAGGAGCGATCTGAGTGTACTAGAGAGAGGCATGCATTGAACTGCAGGATGGCCCTGCCAGCGTTGCTTTCAGTGCCCATTGACAAGACAATGACACCCTCTGTATAATGCTGACGGTGGTGGAATCCTAAGGGTTATTCTAAGGGTCTGTCTTTCCTCCATCTGTGAGAAAGATGGAGCGTTCTATTCCTGTAAAGAGGGACAATCGCAGGAACCCACAAAGGCAGTTCCACCCTGTCCTATCGGGTGGCTATGAGTCCACTCGATGGCAGTGAGTTTGGGTTTGGGTTCAGAGGTGCCCCTATCAGAAACCAGAGCCACTATTGCAGGTGTGAAGGCACCAGGGACCAAGGCGCCTGGGTGTTGGTAGAGGTGCTCACCTGTGGTCTCCCCGTCATCCCAGAAAAGCTCCCCTTTGGCTTCTTGGTTGTCATCAAGGGCAATGATCAGGCCAAGAGGGTTCCGTCGACTGTAAGGAACAAGGTTTGCCATGTGAACAAGGAAGCATGCCGTCTCGCAGCTGGGAGTGCACACACCCAATCCCAAAGGAAGGGGCAAGTTCCCAGAGGCAGGAGGCTGCCTTTCACCAGGCCCAGAGGCAGGATGGCCAGAGAGTCCTTCTCTGGTCTTGATAATGCCCCAGCAGGCTGAAAGCCTGCGACATTTGGAGA